AAAATGGCATGGGGCCGAAATTCACCAAATCTTACATAGACACAGCGAGGGCTCAAAAACAGATGGGAACTTGTGGCTCCCATCTGTAGCTTGTGCGTGCTGCCCATCTTTTTGCGAAGCCAAACGAGGAGATCCAGAGAACTTGAAAGCTTGCACATTCTTTTACAGCCTTTTAGCTGGCTTTCAAATACTGAAAATCAATAGTGATGAAGATGTGATCTGCATCTGAGGGTTTTGGGTTTTCTAAGTGCAAGGCCCAGAATTTCCACTTTGGGTGAGAGGAAGAAAGAAATGAGGAAGTATAATCTACTTTTGAGGGGCGCATTTGATCGGGTTAACAACAAGGGGTCTGTTCCATGTAGGGTTTTTTACTGGCTGCATGTGTTTTGAGCCGTGGATCCCTCTGAATGAGCCAGAGGCAAGCGGAGCGGTTCTGTAAATATCTATCGACCCAGGCGGTGGCTGGGAGGGGAGGAGATTCCCAGACAGAGAGTCACGAATCAACTCACCCACGGCCCAAAGTGAAACATGAGTTGCGATCATTTGGCACTCTGAGGCAGAGAGAGAAGGAAAGAGAGAAGGAGAGAAGCTATCAGCTCTATGACCTCATGTGCAGAGAAGTAAACCTAATGGGGTTATCATGTTCCACGTCCGTTAGGGCAATTCCTATGGAGGTGTTTTTTTTAAAAAAGTTTCCAGAGAAGATCCCTGTGGGTCTTTAAAATGCCGAGGAAGACTCCATCAGCCTTAGACTCGAGTAAGGAGGCGCATCTTTTCTGTGTTTCTCTCCGGTTGAAGCTAATCGTTCATCACACAGGCAACTCAGGGCTCCCAGCCGCTTGCTCCGAAACGCAACTTTCAGGAAGCAACTCGCCAGGCGAGGTGGTGTAGCTGAACCTTTTTTTCCCCCCTGGCTGCTAATTCTCCCCAAAACCATTTCTCTCCCACGCCCTCTTTCCGATTAATCCTTTCACCCATGGGGCCGGGGAGAGGTATGTTTTCGGACCACAGAGCTCGGGACGCCCCCATCCCAAAATATCCCTTCTCCCCGGCTCCTGGCTGCACCCGACACACCCTCTTTTTGTCTACAGAGAAGAGGTCGCCACCCCATCAGGCCTTGAGGTGGGAAAGAAGAGATTCTTCCAAGGTTACGGCACATGAAGGCCAATTCAATTCATGTTCATGCACCACTGCCCACATGTATGTTTCTCCACGGAGGTGAGGGCATGGTCTTTGGGAAGGTGTCGTTCCAGCCCTACGATCATTCTGGGGATTTTTTTCCCCCAAGCGCTGTGCATGCCCCGACCCTCCCAGTACGACCACCAAGCCCAGAACAGAAAAGGATGCAAAGGGAAGCGAAATAACTCAGGCGGCTTCCGTTCACAGAGGAAGGAGAAACCAATTGCTTCTTGGTGCAGAATCGAGAGAAGTCTCGATATTTTATTGGACCACACACGTGAATCTGAGAGAAAAGGGGGGGGGTTGTTTCTCTTGCAGGCAAAGGCTGTTTTTCACTTGGAGTGTGATGTCCAAGTAAGAAAAAGAGAATAGAAAGAGAGAGAAAAGGAAGCCCGATTCAGAATCCAGAAGGACTTAAGAGGACTGAGTGGAGAATGGAGGTGGGGGGGAGAAAAGCAGCCCCTCAAAAAGGGGGGGGCAGCCGAGAGCGGGAGAGGGCAGCCATTGTCCCCGAGCATCTGGACTCAAGGAGAAGCCGGTCCCACGCCAACGATGACAAACGCGGTTGTAAACGGCATTGGAGCGAGATGCTGACACCCAGCAAAGACCAAGGTTAGACTTCCCATTGTGGAGCGCCCGGGCAAATTTTAATGGGCCAAAACCGACAGCAGGGAAATGAGAGGCCAACATTAAAAATAAATAATAATAATAACAGATTACAACTCCCTTCCCGCCGCCTCAGCCCATTTGCCACCGCTGCGGACAGAGGCCGTGCCGGCTTTAGCGAAAGGCAAGTGACCTCAGAGGTGACTCCAAGGGGAGCCGGCCGCGAAGGGAAGCAACGGTTTGGGATAGCTTTGGCTTGTGTTGTGGGTACCCTGATGAAGTTTCTAGCCCTCATGGTTCCTGTGGAGAAACAGGGATGTCTGCGGCAGACAAAAGCAGGGAAGGGTTTAAGCTGAGGGCTTTACCTCGCCGAGGGGGAAATCACGGCTCCTTTGCTCCCTCCAAGAACGGTTCCTAATAAGATGCCTCAAGAGGTTCCCTTGCTAGCTATTATGGCTAACCAATATTGACAGACGTCGCTTCCCCGATTCTGTCTCATTCTTGAAAAAGAAAAGAGGGGGAAAGAAGACAGTCGTCTAAAAGGTGGCGGCTATGCCACATCCTTCAGCAAATACAGTAATGAATTCCGCAAAGCGATGCAATTCTGAGACAATACAGGACTGCATGCTTTGGGACTCACCCCAGTGGTCACCTGAAGGCCCTTGGGGACACACCACGGAGAAGCCACGGCATAGAAGATCAGAAGGACCGGTACAGTAGTTCCCCGATCGGTTCCTGGACAAGAGGCCAGCCGGAAGCCTCTTTCCAACCATCTATGGCCCTTTTAAACCACCCGCGAACCAACAGCCATTAATTTATGGAAAACAGAAGATTCAACAGTAGCACAATGGAAGGATGAGTACAAAAACGTCAAGCAAAAAGCTGAGCTTTGATGGAGGCTACCTCGAATTCCACTGAAAAGAAAAGAAGGAGCCACTGATCCACACGCCAAACAGCTCAAATGCTCTCAGGCTGATATAAAAGAGCCAACTGCCTGTCTTTTTTAGGCACTATCCGTGACTGAGGGAGGCCAAGCCTGTCTGCAGAGGAATCATCAACAGCGCAGAAGATTGTGGGACGTCC